CTTTGGAGACTTCTCCATGGAGTTGAGGATTTTGGAGTGGAAGGGCAGACCCTACAACTGCCGGATGAGCCAGGTGAGGCTGTTGATCAACAGGTGCAAATTGTTATTTTGCTCGCTCTCACCAGGCCATGGATTTGTCATTTCCTTTTAGGCCAGGCTCTGAGTTGGCATTCATAGTCAGTTGACTTTATTGATTTAATTAATTGTTGTTGACTCTTAGCTGTTAGAAAACATCCTTTTATTAACAGCCACGTAGGAGGGGTTTTTACAGGTGTGTACAGGCTGCCTCTCTAGGGTGCTAAAAATAAACTTATTTATAGATACCACTAGAGATTACAGAACATGTGAAATATCTGTAGCTTAAACTTTGCTTAAAACTGATGTTTCTTTATGACTAGACTGAGACTACGTTGACTCTTTTTGGGTTAATAATAGCACAGTAGTGTTGTATCCTCCTGTGTGAATCAGCACGTGACACAAATTTCTTTTATTATAGTGATGTGAATTGTATTCACTTGGTGAACATGCTCTCTGACAGATTTTTCTTCCACTCTAGAGTTAATTATTTTTCTTTTTATTATTAGTAAATACCTTGGGAGATTTATCAACTAATGTGCAAAAAAGAAAAAAAAAGCCAGATTAAACCAAATTTCATCTGATAGCTCTTCTTAGATTCTCTTGGCATATATCTTGCTATAAAAAATAAAGACTCTAATTTTTTTTTTACTGGCCCAATAAACTGAAAACCTAGGCTGTGCCACTTATTAGATTTTTGATAATATATTCTCCTTGGACCAGAAGCAATGACACCACTGGCAAACTTGTTAGAAATTCAGAAACTCAAGCTTCATTCTAAATCTCCAGAGTCAAAGTCTGCATTTTAACAAGAGTGCCTGTTCATTGTTGTACTCAATAAGATTTGAGAAGTATGTTTCTAAATAACAATGAAGTTTTCATTAATTAGCTATAGACAACCTATCTTGTATTATATAAATACAGTGTTCAAAAATGTACATGTCTGTGTTGGTGCCCTTCATTTTATACTATACTATCAAGAAAAGTACTTGTATATACACTGGTTTTGTGGATGTTGTATATCAGAGTTAAAGAGTACATTAGAGAATATTCCTGTGCTAGAAAGTATCTTATTGGGCTGGGCATGGTGGTTCACACCTGTAATCCCAGCACTTTGGGAGGCCAAGGTGGGTGGATCACTTGAAATCAGAAGTTCGAGACTAGCCAGACCAACATAGTAAAACCCCATCTCTAATAAAAATACAAAATTAGCCAGGTGTGGTGGTGCATGCCTGTACTCCCAGCTAGTTGGGAGGCTGAGGCAGGAGAATCACTTGAACCCAGGAGGCAGGGGTTGCAGTGAGCTGAGATCATGCCATTGCACTCCAGCCTGGGCACCAAGAACAAAATTCTATCGTAAAAGAAAGAAAGAAACGATCTTATTGGATAATTCCAGTCACTCACATAAGTCAGAACCAGTTCTCTTTACTCGCAGTTTACATAATGTAAAATCGAGAATTCTTTCTATGACCACTTGCTAAATATGTTATATTTTTCAGGGAGTGTTGACATTCAGGGATGTGGCCATAGAATTCTCTCCAGAAGAGTGGGAATGCCTTGATTCTGCCCAGCAGCATTTGTATAGGGATGTGATGTTACAGAACTACAGAAACCTGGTGTTCCTGGGTGAGAATAAGTTCAATATACAATTCACCTTCCACACAATTTGTTTTCTTCTGTTTTCTGGGGGTTCTGCTTTGCATGAATGAGTTTCAGAATACTACTTAAGAAAAAAAGAGAACAGTATCTGTTGAGGTAGAAGATAAATTTTTCAAGATGTTTCATCTTAATAATCTTTCCCTTTTTTGAGCTGATTTGTATACGTCAGTGTAAATTAGTGGTAATACCAGAAATTTAGTGGCATAAAGTATTGTTGCCCACACCTTAAAATCAAATTTCACCACCAATTTGTCATTAAGTATTACTGAATAGTAGAGCAATGAACCCAAAAATTCAAAATACTTTCTAAATATTCTAAAGTTCCTATTACGAAACAGTATATTGAGATTAATTTTCTAGAATCTTCTATAATATTCTATCTTGTATACCGAGCACAGTACTAGATTGGTAATTAGACAGTTCTAGCAAGAGTCATGTTCTTTTTTTAATAAAACAGGTCTTGCTGTCACCAAGCCAGACTTGATCACCCATCTGGAACAAGAAAAAGAGCTCTGGAATGTGAAGAGACAGGAAACAGTAGCCAAATACCCAGGTAAGTGGGAGCGAGTGAGGCAAATGACACAAATGAGAGTTCCCTATGTCAAGGAGGGAGCCAGACTGAAACATGGTTTGAGAGGCTCTCCACCAATGAAATAGCTTCTGAGTAACCTGCATTTCTTTCTCTTGCTTTCAATCAGGGCATCTCATGATATGATTGTCTCATTCTCATTAACTTTCTAAGCACTGTACTTCCCCTTCAGTTATGGTTTTTGTTTGTTTGCTTGTTTTTTAGTTTACAGTGATAGTTTTACACATAACTTATTGTGTGATCTGATTGCACTTCCATTGCTTTGGGAGAAATAGTAATATCTGTATTTTGAGAAACGATTTTAAACAATTTTTAAGGTTGGTTTTGGATAATGTCTAAAATACATGAGAGTTTTGGTGAT